ACTCAGTTTGAGATTCGTTGTCCCACTGAATAGCAAAGACATCCCAGAAAAGAGAAAAAGGGAGGCAGGGGCAGGGCTGGTGGTTGACAAATAAAAACAAAGAGACTAGACTGGAGGTGGCAAGAAGGCAACAGGAGATGACATGTTTGGAGGGGTACCTAGGAAGAAGCAAGATGGATCAGAGCAGGTATAAGGAGAAGAAGAGGGTCAGTGGGACACTGAATCTCAACCTGAGTGAGGCAAGCGTATGGGGGTGTAACAGAGTAGGCAATTTAGGACCATTGTCATGTCCCTTAAAGCCCACCTCATCCCTGCCAGGCTCTCTCTCTTCCCTGTCTCTCGAGGTCTCAGCTTGCGTTCTTGCCAGCTGTGTCTTGACAGAAACTGAATGAAAGGGAAACTGCCCCCGAAGACTGATGAGTCTAAGGTGCTCTCTTCTCTAGTGGTCACCTCTCCCAATCATGCTTACCTTGCGGGCTTAAGCCATGACCTCCAGCCACAGCCCCAGACACACCCATGCCTCACACATGCTACGCATCATCCATCAATGAGCCTTCAGCCCCTTCACCAGTCAGTCTGTTCATGGCTCCTTGCCTTTTCCCAGTTGTTGTGTCTTTAATAGTCTCTACTTTGCTGGACTATGGGACTCCGGCCATATTTCTCACTGCCCCCTTTTCCTTCATTGGACCCTCATCTTCTTTTCTCCCACCCCTCCCCAGGTGATGAGCCTTCTTCAGGGTCTTCCTCACTCCTGGAGTCTTCTCTGACTCTCTTCCTCTGAGCCTTCCCTGACTCTTTTCTCTCTCAGAGCCTACCCCGACTCTTCTTCTTTTCTACTGAGCCTCCCCTGGGTCTTCTACTCATCCTGAGCCTTCCCTGGCTCCTTTCTTTCTTTGCCCTAGCTGTGCTTGCCTCTGGCTCTACCAGCACCTCCAAACCACCCCTTTGCTAGTCCCCTCTGATCCTCTGGGGCAAAACCCAAACACAAACGTAAGCCTTTTGGCCACAGCACAAATGCCCAATGCATTGGCTGCCTACCACACTTCTTCAGAGCCCTGAATCATGTCCCTCTGGTTGCACTCCCCAGGATTCCTGCCAGGAGGTCACCAGTAGCAGCCTTCTCACAGAAAGGCCTCCTCATCCTGCAGTCTCCTAGATCTAACCCCCTGCTCTGGTTTATATCCCACTGAAGCCTGCCCCTTTTCGGTCATGCACCTCCTCTGTCAGCTGCCTTGACCTCAGGGTTTTTCTTAACCCCTGCTTTGATGGTTGCCTGTGTCTGTGCTACAAAAACTCTTCCTTTAAATGGCCACACCACTTTCCAGTAACAAGGTGAGGGTTCCCCATTATGCAGGGATGCGCACGGCAAGGTGTATGGAGCTGGCCTGAAAAACACATAGCAGCTAAGTAACCAGGTAGTTGAGAGCTTAGAACGAGACTATAGATATGGCTACACTGCATAGCGTAATGCAGTGTTAGAAACATCCAAGCTAGCTCAGATACCAGAAGCAGCTAAGTCACAGGAACTCAGTACTGGTTGATTTACCTTGCTGAAAACATTAAAAATGCTTGCCTGGAGCTCTATGCTCCTGTGGCTATTCTCTGCTTCTGGTACTCAAGGTATCGGGGGTTGCTCACCACTGCGCCACAGTGTGCGGTACAAAGGGAGCCTCCGAGACTGATGCATTTGATGGAGAGGACGCAGTGATTAGTGCAGAAGCAGCATCAGGGGAGAAAACCTGGGAGAAACAGCATGAAGAAAGCAGAAGCCAGGTTTTGCAGTTTAGGCAGCAGCCTGGGACTCTCGGATACAGGGTCAATCCTGATTTTTGTCACACATTCATTAATGTGCCATAGTTACTGCACATTAAGTTTAGTACTTGAATAACCAAGTACTAAATCAAGGTGCAATGATGGTTGCCACTACGCAGTAGTGCTGGCGCACAAGTTTTTGCAGATGCTAACTGCTCAGTAGCCTAATGCTACTGCACGGTAGCATATTAGCATAGTTTTTGTCTGGCATGATACTGCCCAGTGTTATTAAGCTACTGAGCAGTTATTAGGCTACTGAACACAAGTGTTATTAGGCTACTGAACATCTCATGTAGATGCACCCTATGTCTCCTTTATGAACTGGGGATCATAAAGCCCTAACTTCATGAACTGGGGATAATAGGTCCACCCTCTCCCCATCTCGTCTATGCAGACTGTGCCCTTTTCTGGGCAGGGACTTTTATTACATTTTCCTGAGTTATCTTCTAGAGTTGTGGGGCACTGGTTCAACTGGGGTGACTAATACAAAATAAATAAGATGCATATTTTCAGGGTGACACATTTAACTCCGAAATATGCATTTTTAGTTTTAAAAAAGCTGATAAAATCAGGGCTGTTCTTTTGATGATACTGTTTATTCATTGCTGCAGGCCTTGTTTCGATTAGCCTCAGAAATGCTACCTTGAAATACCCGAGACAAGGGTTTTGAGGGGTAAGGCAGAAACAGTAATTGTTTTGCCCTTTAAAAAGATAATTTATTCACAGTTAATGAGAACAGGTTTGCTGCTTCTTTGCATAAAAGTCCATGGGAACAACCGATCGGAAGTGTAAAAAGCTACCTGTATTAAAGGGATGGGATTTCAAGTGATTTTTGAGCTACACTCTCAAGACTCAGTTGCCTGAAGGCATCTATCTGGGCTTCTCAGGAGATGGTATAATTAGCACCTGTGTGTGGGAGCTTGATAAGTAGTGAATCTTCTGTGAACCATTCTGGACCAAGGGAGAGGCACCTAATTTCCAGGTTACACTAGAAGGCTTCCTGTCCTGAATCGTACCATAGTGTTGCTGCTAATGCTGCCTGCTAATACATAGCTGCACCACCCAGATTCATAGGTTTTGCAGTTCATCAGTAGGTTATTCCTCCTTATAGCTTGGCTCAGGGAGGCATATAACTGGCACCTAGGTGTTTAAGTGCCTGAGTACAACCCCGTTCTGCTCTGCCTGTAAAGGACTTACCATGTCTTCCTTTGTCACATGCCTCCATCTTTGCTGTAAGATTAGGTCACAAAAAAAGCAGCAGGGACTCACCTACTGGTGCATGAAGGACTGAAGGTATCTTTCTTACCACTGTTCAAAAGGGTCTTGTGTAGGATCGCACTTAGATGCTTACATGCCTAAGTACCACCTAGACCCATGGTAGGTGGGACAGGATCTAGCCCTGGGTGTGGAAGTGGTGCACAGTATATGGCCATGCATCTCAGAGAGATAACTGGAATAAAGTCCTGGTTCCAATGAAATCCACTCAGTGAGCCCTGTTGCAAACGGTCCTAATTCTTGCAATGGGATCTGAATATTTTAGGTCTGGATCTGAGTTCTGCAGCTTCAGCCCATCTAGGTACAAAGAGACCCCCCAAGGTCTGATGTAGGCAACAATATGAGCATGGGTTTCCACCCTTTGGGATCTGCCTGTCAGCTGCTCAGGACACTGCTTGAATCTGTGATCTCCATGCTGATGGATGCCCTGCAAGCAGCCAGCCCAAAGATCCCAGCATGTCAACCACCAGGCATGGCCAATCCCTCCTGGGCCACATATGGAGAGGGAGAGGATACTCTTTCCAAAGCTCCTGCCTGTGTGAGGCAGAGCAGAGAAGGTCCCAGACTCCCAAAAGTCAGTAGTTATATGGGAAATATCCCCTCCAGGCAGGAGGCTCAGAGACCCTCTCTCTGGCAGAAGAAAGCCCTCTCCCAGGAATTTGGCTGGTGGCAGAACCCATCTCCCCAGCAGCTTCTAGGGCTCCTGAACATACCGCTTCGCCAATAGGATTTAGGAGTGAGTCCTGCCTGCTGAAGATGGCCCGTGCTGTCCTGAGAAAAATCGGCTGGTCTCTGCAAGGCAAACAATGATGTGATGATTAAAAGCATTAATGGGGACAGGGAGCATTTTGCTAATGAGCTTCGCCACAATGTATTTATTATTAAACCTGATCGGACGGGACTATCCTTTCCCTTGAGGCTCCTACCTAGTTGCTGCATCTGACTGCTGCCTGCCGGATGGATGGATGGATGCTGGAGAGATTAGTCCTAAGCCCTTCCCCCTCCACTCCCCTCCTCTTTCAGGACTTCACTGACAGTCCCCAAGGGAAGCAGAGGAAAGGCAGAGGGCAGGCTCCACCAGCTCTCTCCATTCAGTTCACCAGGAAGCCCCAGGAGCCCAGGACAGCAGCTGCCTCCTGAGCTTCTGATAGCAAGGGAAGGTCCCTGTTTTGCAAAGGATACACAGGACCACTCTGCCTCTCTTCAAGAGGCAAAGAAAGAGAGAGAGGGAGAGAGAGAGAGGAGCATGAGGTTTGCAGAGTGCACTACTAATTTTTCATGTGATCAATACAGTAAATATCCCCAGGTCTCTCTGCTGGCTAGTAACTCAGAGGACAGTCGATCAGTTTGCAGCATGCATTCTCCACTGGCGGGGAAGCCAGGCACCTGGGAGCAGCCAGCATCAAGGTGGTGAGTAACTTTGGGGAAGTTGCTTTGGGATTTTTATGATGGAGAGGAGCCGTGAAGCATCGGCACAGTTGATGGGCAAAGAGAAGGATCTGTTCTTTACCAAGAAGTCTGCTGATCAGGCCACTGCCTGGGAGAAGACTTGGTTCTCTGGGTCGCTTTGGCTTCCAGTGTCCTCTCAGTAATTTGCAGTGGTATCTGGGTGGGTTAATAAGAACACACCACTTTTTTACCACTTGACTTAGTTACTCCTTGCAGCACCCTGAAGAAGTATTGTCAGGAAAGGGTGTAGAGAGGAAGGAGGCATTTCACTTTGAGAGCTTCTAAGTTAAAGCAATTCAGAACTGAGCGTCCAGCTGCTGACTGATAACTGGCCCCCAAAACTTTAATAAGGATTGCACAGCTTTTTGAAGCTGATGTGTATTTCAGAGAAGCCACAGAGGCAAGCAGCCCGCCAGTGCTAGCAAATTCAAAAGGTAGGCTAATGACCAAGGTGTGCTCTAAAACCAATCGCCTGCTCTGCTCACACCCTATCTTTCAGTCAGCCATTGCTGAGCAATAATTATGAATGAGGCTTGTTGTTTTTTCCTCTGTGTGTGTGTGCGTGCGCGTGTGTGTGTAAGTGTGTGCCGCCAGACAACCAATGAGACTGGAAAGCAAACTGCATTCACAGGCTGCCGATTTGAGGCAGAGGCACAGAGATGACTTTTCCACGCACACACACTTTGTGTTGTAGGGAAGTCATCTGTGATGCCGTTTCTACCATTATAACCTTTACTATTTTTTCTTCCTTCCTTCTCCATCTTTCGGGTGACAGCTAACCCCAGTCCGATGCCATTTTGGACGTCCCAGTGAGAACTCTCAGAGATGCCTATTCTCTCGGGAGGCAGCGATCAAGACTATAGCAACATTAGCTACACTTCTTGTAGTTCCCTGAACCGTTTCTTTCCTGTCTCTGTTGAGACCCCGTCTGTCAAAGGGGTCCATTACCAAAGAGCCAGGAGGATTTACCACTCGGATCAGCTCTGCAAAGTCGATCTGAAGAGGGAAATCATGATCAATGTTGGAGGCATCAAGTACCTGTTACCGTGGAGCATGTTGGATGAATTCCCACTCACCCGGCTGAGCAAGCTAAAGTTTTGCAGCAGTTACGAGGAAATTATTCAGCTCTGCGACGATTACGATGAAGACACCCAAGAGTTCTTCTTTGATAGGAACCCCAGTGCTTTCGGGATGATTGTCAGCTTCCTGGCAGCGGGGAAGCTGATGCTCTTGCGAGACATGTGTGCTTTGTCATTCCAGGAGGAGCTGAGGTACTGGGGGATTGAAGAGTCCAACCTGGAGAACTGCTGCTTCCGAAAGCTGTTTCAGAAACTGCAGGAGCTGGCAGAGATGCGCAAGGAGGACATGCAAAGGGGCCAGGATACCGCATGTGTCTTGGATGAGAAGACCAAATGCGGAGAGTTCATGAACAGACTCAGGGACATGGTAGAAAACCCTCAATCCGGACTCCCAGGCAAAGTCTTTGCTTGTCTCTCCATTCTCTTCGTGGCCACCACAGCCATAAGCCTTTGTGTTAGCACAATGCCGGACTTAAGAGCTGAGGAAGACAGGGTAAGTCGGTCTTTTTTTTTTTTTTTAAACTAGGATTAAAGCCCTCCGTAACCTTGCTCTAGTGTTACAAGAAGCAAACCTGTCATTGTTAGACATGCATGGCAGGAAAGATACGGCATTCTCACCGAGGATCCTCAGGGAAAAAGGATCTAATGCTGTCTGTTGTACAGAACGGAAGCAATTACTTAAACTGACTTATCTCTTTCAAAGCTAGTCAAGCACAAATAATTGAAACTAAGTTTGCTATCGATTACTAGCCAGGGACACAGAAAAGTCTCTGAAAATGAAATACGTGGGAAAGCATTACCCTACAGCATTTCTTTTCCCCGCTTAGTAAAGGAGGGGTGAGCAAGAGTTATTGTGTTTGGTGCTAGCACTGAGGATCGCACACTCGGTCACAGCAGTTTCATCCTCAGCTGTCTGTATCTTACCCAAAGAGCCCTCTAGTTATCAGTAATTCTTTGAATGACTATGTCAGCAAAAGAAGTTATTTTTCCTGCCAACTTCCTTTGCTAAAAAGATCACATTGTATTCTGGTTTGATAACTAGAGGGACTCTAGTGTGGTTTGAATTTAGGAGACTGAAATAGTTCTTAAAGTCATTTTCACAGAACAAATAAAAGAAAGGGGGAGGTTACTGCAATATTTGCATAAAGGTATTAAAATAAAGTGAGATACCGGCAATCTATTGTGATGGAAGCAGAACTGCAAAGCTTGCCTCCAAAGCAAGTGCACAAGTTTTGCTCCCTGCATTTGTATGCACAGAAAATTTGCAGGGGCATTGCTGAAGGGGGGGGGGGCTGAAAATTTAACTCTCTAAACACAGAGTGTGCCTTTGCCACACAGATCTCCTGCTAGAAACTCAGGGCAAATAAATGAAACTTATATCACACGCGGAATCTTTCCTTAAAACACTATTCCCTGGGATCCGGCTACTTCCAGGATTTTTAAATATCTGTCATTCTAATAAGAAAAAGGGAGTTAGTACTTTAATGAAGTTTTAGGTATAATACCATCCAAAATGACCAAATGAACACTGGATCCTTCCCTAACCTGCACTCTATAGCTCTTTCTTTTAAATAACTATACACCTTTGAAAATACTGAAAAGGCTACACAGTTAAACCAACCCTAATCATTTTGCTCATTGGTGCCATTACATGATAAGATTCTCATCACTTTACTCTCAATTGCCTAATGAGACCATTTGCACATTTACTGCCCAATGTGATGCATGCAACACTGAAATTTCTGTGTGCTTTATTGCCTGAGTAGTAATTCAGAGAGGCGCAGAACACGATCCCATTGAAGATATGCCATAACATTTGATGTCTTTCAGTAAAATGAAGGATTGCACAAGAGGCTGGCATTTAAAGCCAGCATACCCCATTCAGTTTAGCCTCCTGGATTTCTACTTATATTTGCATAAAAAGATTGTAGCCCTTCAGTGATATGCTGGGAT